CAATGACCGTGCCAAGACGTTACCACAATTTCCCTGATTTATAGCTCAGTGCTCTATTTCCTAAAGGTTGTATTAACTGTATCCTTCTTCATCTCCCCTTGTCCTCCTTTCCAGCTTTTCATCCCTTAATTTTTATCCTGCCTCTTCATTTTCTTTACTTTCCAACGTCTTATATTTGGTTTGGCTACTTCCCAAACCTAAGGACTTCTCCATTACCACCACTTCCCTATGTATATTGTGTTCTCTAGTAGAGTGTAAGGTTCTTGAGGGCAGGACTGTCTTGCTCTTATATTTCAACCTCCGTTATTTAGCAGTGTTTCCACATTGTGAATACTTAATACCTTTTCATTCATTTATTCATTTGCAAATCTTTCACTAAAATTCTAATCTCACTTATGCCTCTTTCATACATGTCTTCCCATATTTTCCACAATACCATCTCTCTTTTATCTTTTTTTTTTTTGGCTAGGCAATAGGGCTAAGTGACTTGCCCAGGGTCATACAGCTAGTAAGTGTTATGTGTCCGAGGCCAGATTTTAACTCAGGTCCTCCTGACTCCACTGAGCCTATCCACTGCACCACCTAGCTGTCCCCCTTGTATTTTTTTCACCCACTCCCAATGTTTTGACTCATCCCTACTACTTTATCAACTCCCTTTCTGCTGTCCTCCTGAATCCTCCCTCTCCACCATCCCTAGAATAATATACCTACAAATGTATGCTTGTGATTAGAAAAAAAACTAATAAAATATTTTCCAGGTTCTTGTTCCTGAAGTACTTTAGGGTGATTACATAATTTAAACACCATCAAAGGATATCCAAGTTGTCCATTTAAGTAAAAAGCTATTTAATGTTGGAGAGAAGAGTTCTCTTTTTCTTTCCACTTTTCCCAAGTGATACAAAGGCACTATCCAGTCCCAAAGGAATCAAGAAGAGCACTTGATAGTTCTCACTTTGTGACCTTTTCATTAGCTCCCAATCTTTCTCCATGCCTTTGTAAAGGAGCAGCTCAGGATTTTGACTTCTTTCTCCTGCTCAGCAGAACCAGCCCAACTATCTGTCTAATATCGTAAAGGTTTTTTAGCTCTGGTTCCTGTCATGTCCTTATATCTTAGCGATCCATTCTGCTTACAAATAAGGGAGGATAGGATAATTTTATAGATCTTCCTCCGCCCATCCCACACACCATCATAACTACCTTCATCTACATACTGTGAAGGGAAATTTTAATGGAAAAAATAAGTTTTTAGGAGCATCTGTAGGGAGCAGAATCAAATCTGCTCTAAATTAGGATGGATTTAAATCAATTTAAATCAAGGAAACATTTCAAGCTATTCAGAGCTTTGAAAATGCAGATGTAAACAACTATCAAGATCTTGAGCCATTTCCCCATTAATAGATCTGATTTAAAGAAGCACTTTTAGTTTCCACATGGTTTAGATGTAATATCTGTCAAAGGTGAATTCCAGATCATCTTTAACATTAGGAAAAAGTTAAACCATCACTTCTTCGCAAATGAGAAAGAAGCAAATTGATAGAAAATGTGTTCTTCAGTTCATTTTTTTGACTGCGATGAAATCACAAAAAGTAATTCAACACATTTTGTGGAATGTATAGCATTTTAAGTTAGTCATAATATAACTTGTACTTATCTGGTGTTTCATGTATGTTTTTATATACTTCAGTGATTATTTCATTATTTCAACATATGTGTGATGTCATCAAGGTGGGTAGTCCCTATTTCAAAGAGACTAAAATCCATCCAAACATTTTCATCTTGAAAAATTCTTGAGCATGTTTTCCCATAGATTCTCTATAGAAGATCTAACCAACCTGGTGTATGTCATCTTCTAGAACTTTATACATTTTGTGGGTATCAGGTGGACCTTGACTAGTCCATCGGCCTTCATTGTTGTGGCTACATGGCTCATTCCCTGTATTGAGCACACAGGCACACAAAGTAATTGCATTAATATAAATTCTTGTGGACAAAGAAAAAACATGTTACACGATGTCTTGAATAGAGGATTCACCTCAGGCTGTTCACGGATAGCCCTCTGATCAAGTTTTTCATTCTCAAACTTGGCTCATGAAGAGATATAGGGTTTAGTATTATTTCTTTTGTTTTACTTGGAAAAAGTATATCATTGGCATCCAAGTAGCAATCAAGAAAGACCTGAGGGACAGGTAGGTGGTGCAAGGGGTAGAGTACTGGCCTTGGCCTGAGTTCATATCCGACATCAGACACATGATACTCACTAGCTGTGTAACCCTGGGAAAGTCACTTAACCCCAATTATCTCATATAAAAACTTAAATAAAAAAAGAAAGAAAGAAAGAAAGAAAGAAAGAAAGAAAGAAAGAACTGAAACTGCTTTTATTATTATTTTTAAATTAAAATTGTAGTATCCCTCAACTATTTAAGTTTACGTCAGAGGGTAAGGTTGTAGGTTTAAATAAAGATAGATAGATAGATAGAAAGATAGAAATGGATATGCACAAAATATATACATATATGTTTTATAACAATAACTTTTATCAAAAGTCTAAGTAATTAATCAAACAATAAAATGTTATTAAATATCTAATAAGTGCCAGAAACTGGAAATGCAAAGATAAAAGCTAAACAGTCCTTATTATCAAAGAGATTTGATTCAAATGGGGAGTTAGCCATCATGATTCATGACTCATGGTCATTATACATGAACTCTATATTTGATCCCCTACTTTCCCCACTGTTGTCTATATTTTAGGCATGGTACTCCCTAATTTTTGAGGGAGAATGTCCTATTGTAAATCTTATTACTAGACTAATTAATCAAATGTCTTTGCATTGAAATAATTGTCTCTTGTCAATCATTACTGAAACATAAATATGTGGGTGTAAGCTTGAGACCTTTAGTTTAAGACTGTGACCCCAAAGAATGTTGGAAATTTTCACTAATTATCCTCTGAAAGACTGGACTAGCAAGTATAAATTGGAGGAATGCTTTTGAGCTAATAAATGATTAGGGAGTTTGAATTTTATGTAAACACTAGAATCTATAAGATATTGTACAATGGAAATACCATTGGATTTATACCCCAAAACACATTGATTCAATTTCTGACTCTGCCAATTACTAGCTTTCTGACCCTGGGCCTTATCTTTTCTAAATTTATTTTTGTCACTGTCAAAATGGGAATAATATCAGATAAGAAAAATGCATGCAAAGCACTTTGTGAATTGTAATGTGTTATATTACAGGCAAAATTTTTCCTCAAAGGCAAAATTTGCCGGATAGTTTTTGTTAACTTATATAGAGCACATGGTTGACTGTCCTTCCATCTAGGCAGTCAAGAATAAATAAGAAGGAAACATTTATTCACCTTGGTTTCCCTCATTCATTTGTTTGTTTTTTTGTAGAACATTCACAGCTAGTTCAGGTAATCAAACAAATAATCAATCATCCAGCAGGCATTTATTAAGTGACTTCTTTGTTTAAGGAATATGTCGGCAGTAGGGTCACAAATGCAAAAGAGAGACAATTCGTTGTTCTTGTCCTTAAAGAGTGTACATTCTACTGAAATTTGATAGTTCTGCTCATGCTGGAAAACATACATGCATGCCTTTGAAACAAATATTAGAGGAAAATATTCCATAGTCATGTCCACAATTAATGAAGAAAATTCATTCCAAATCCAGATTTTCGTGTCTCCTCTTCCTTCACAACTCTGATCTACCTGGAACTCTTCCTTCTTTAATCTGCTATAGCACTTAAAGGAAGGGTTCTAAACCTTTTTATTTGTATCATGGATCTTTTTGAATGTCTGGTAAAGCCTATGGATCCCTTTCCAGAAGAATGTTTTTGTCTATATTCATGATTGAAAGAATTGCTAAACTTTAATTGGAGATTAGTGAACATAAAGATGCAATAGTTTGTTTTTTTCCATTCAAGTTCAAAGACCACCTGATACCTACTATAAATAATAAGAAAAACCAAACTCTTATGAGAAATCTGTATAGTCAAGCAAATGATACCTTTCTTCTATTTAGCTCTTTCATGCTTCTGACTATCCCAATTTCCATGAGAGTATTTTCATCATTTGATTCTTTGAAATCATTTGATTTTATCAATGTTTCTAAAATATTACTGGCATAATTATGGATATATATGTGTGCGTGTGTGTATTTGTGTGTATATTTGTGATTAGTTTTATATATATATAATTATATATAATATGATAAATACATAAAATTCAATAATTATGCTATATATAATAACAGACCTCTTGAGGTTCTGTGGACCCCATGTCATGAACTCTCTGTACCACACAAGTTAGCACCCAGTCACATGCTTTTTCATTCTGTAATTGTTTCAAGTGTGCTGTCTTGCCTTTGCAAGAGAATTTTAAGTTTCTTCAGGGAAAAGGCTTAGATATCTTATTCTTTCTCCCTTACGCTAAACATGCTACCATGTGGAAGTAGTGTCTAGTTATTAGACATCAAATATCATATTTGGTAACTGATGTAGCTCAAGATATTGAATCATATGCTAAAATATTAGATAACACAGCAGCTCTATACTAGAATTCCCATCTTGAACAACTTCTTGTAAGTGTAAACAGATCCTAATGTAACCCCAGTGCTATGAAGGAGTTCATTGTCCTAAGTGACAATTTTAGGCAGCTGGTAACTCAGTGGATAGAGTACTGGGACTGGAGTCAGGAAGAACTGAGTTAAATCCAGCCTCAGACACTTCCTAGATGTGTGACCTTGGGCAAGTCTATTAATCTCTGATTGCTTGACAGAATGCATCCACTAGATCCACTTGAGAAAGAAATGGAAAACCACATCAGTATCTTTGGCAGGAAAATCCCAAATGGGGTCACAAGATGTCTGACATGAATGAATGATTGAATAACAAAGAATTTTACACAGCCTGAATTATTATCAAAATCTGATTCTCACCACACCTAGTAACCATTTCTCTTCTTCCTTCTCCTCATTTGTAATGGATAGGTGAAATCTCCAGTGCAGTAAATGAGAGACAATGCTCTAAAAAGGAGCAGACTGAAGTCCAACCTGAAAGCGATAGTACTGCTCAGTCAGTTCTGAAAGGAGAAAAATGGTGCCAACTCCAGGAGGAAGCTTCAAAAACTGCAGACATAAAGGAGTGATAGTAAAAGCCAAAGAAAGAAGGCAGCAAGAAAATAGCAAAGACAGCAAGCTAGGGAAATCCAGAAGCATGGTGCAATTTATGACATGAGGATCCCTTTCTTTTTCCCTTTTTTTCCCTTTCCTTTAGCTTTTAAATAAAATTCTGAATTTAAAAAAATACTCAATAAAATTAATATGTCCATATGTAGAACAGAAAATTGTGTAAAAAACTATAATTCTCTTTTCTTTTTAAGTATATTATACATTCAATATGTAACATTCAAAGTTGTGTTATTTTTTCTACGATGTCTTTTGATTTCTTCTCACTTTTAGGTCATGGAGGGGAAAGATTTCTAAACCCAGTATCCCTTTCTTCCATCTCATTAGACCCGAGCTGGAAAAAAGGCAAATAAATTCCCTGCAGGAATTCTTCATCATCAAGCAAATGATATATTTCTTCTCGTTAACCCATTCATGCTTCTTATTATATTATCCATTAGAATATTTTCAGTATTTTATTCTGTTTTCAGTTCCTGACATTAAAAAAAAAAAAAACCTGGAAAAGTCAAAAAGGCCAAAAAACTTCAATTTATTTACTAGAGACAATTTGATCAAAAATGGTAGACAATGTAAATCATTTTTGATCTAGGGGTTACTTCAATTAGATATTTGAGAAAGTAAGAAAACATGAAGAGTCGATTGTTTCTTCTAAATTTAGTAGGTAAACTGAAGCATGGGGAAATGAAATGACTTGCCCAAGGTCACACAGTAAATCAATAGGACTATTAGAAAACAGAATCCAGATAGATGTCCTTTTTTTTGCCTTTATAAAAACAACATATTTATCTTTACCAGCCTTTTCTCTTTAAATTTTGAGTTTCAAATTCTCTCCTTCCCCCCTCCTTTGATATCAATTACATATGTGAAATCAGGTAAAACATGTCTGGATTAGCCATAATTTTTAAAAGCAAGAAAAATAAAGAAAGTGTGAAAATTCTATTTCAATTTGCACTCAGAGTTTGCCAGTTTTCTCTCTAGATATGAATACCATTTTTTCATCATGAGTCCTTTGGAACTGTCTTGGAACATTGTATTAATCAGAGTGACAGTTTTTTATAGTTAATCATCTTTACAACATTGTTGTTACTGGGCACAATGATCTCCCAGTTCTTCTCATTTCACTTCGCATAAGTTCACATAGGTCTTGCCATGTTTTTTCCGAGACCACCTACTTTGTCATTTCTTATAACACAATACTTCATCACAATCGTATGCCACAGCTTGTTCAGACATTCTTTAATTGATGATCATTCCCTCAATTTCTAATTCTTTGCCACTGCAAGAAGAGCTGCTATAAATATTTTTGTATGTCTAGGTCCTTTTACTTTTTATTTGATCTCTTGGGGATACAGACCTAGTAGTGGTATTTCTAGGTCAAAGGGTATGCATAGTTTTATAGCCCTTTGGGCATAATTCCAAATTGTTTTCCAGAATGATTGAACCAGTTCATTAGTCCACCAACAGTTCATTAATGCACCTATTTTTCACTCACCCTTCAATATTTGACATTTCTGATAAGTGTGAGGTGGCACTTTGAAGTTGTTTTCATTTGCATTTCTCTAATCGATAATGATTTAGAGCTTTTTTATATGAATATAGATAGTTTTGATTACTTCTGAAAACTGCTTGTTTGTCTCCTTTGACCATTTATAAATTGGAAAATGGCCCTTATTTCTATAAATTTGACTCATTTCTCAGTTGAGAAATGAGGTCTTTATCAGAGAAACTTGCTGTATTTTTTTTAACATTACTTCATTGTCTAAGGTACCTTTAAGTCAATCGTAGTTTCCTTGATTATCTCTTTGAACTCAGTCTATGTTTGCTTTTACTTTGTCTGAGATCATGTTTACTACCCTTGCCTTTTTTAAATTTTATCTGAAGCATATTAGATTCTATTCCAGCCATTTAGTTTAACTTTGGATTTGTTTCTGCATCTCTTGTAAACAACATACTGTTGGATTCTGGTTTCTAATCCATTCTGCTGTCTATTTCCATTTTATGGGTGAGCTCATACCATTCACATTTACAGTTATGATTACTGTTTATTTTCCTCTATCCTGCTATCTTCTCTCTCTCTCTCTCTCTCTCTCTCTCTCTCTCTCTCTCTCTCTCTCTCTCTCTCTCTCTCTCTCTCTTATCCTGTCCTTCCTCAAAAGTCTATTTTGCTTCTAACTACTGCTTCCCTTAATCTTCCCTCCCTTCCCTCTCCTATTTCCTCTCCTATTTCTCTATCAGGTAAGTTACATTTATACACACAACTGAAAGTGTGTATGTATTTGTCTTCTTTGAACCAATCAAGATGAATGAGTTTCAAGTGTTGCCCTCCACCCTACCCCACCCCATTTTCCCCTTTACTGTAAAAACTCTTCCTTTCATGCCTTTTACCTGAGAAAATTTTCCCATTCTACCTCTCCTCTCCTCTTCTCCTAGCTCATCCCTTTCTATCCCGCCCCCATATATTTTTTTTTGTGGAGATCATTCCAACATAATCAACGCACACTCAAGCCTTTTGTCTATGTAAACTCCTTCTAGCTCCCCTGATAATAATAAAGTTCTTAGGAGTTATATTCCCTTATAAGAATGTAAACATTTTAACTTTATTGAGTCCCTTTTGATTCCTCTTTCATGTTTACCTTTTTATGTATCTCTTGAGTCTTTGGTTTGAATGTCAAATTTTCTATTCAGCTTGGGTATTTTCATCAGAAATGCTAGAAAGTCCTCTATTTCATCAAATATCTTTATTTTTTCCTAGGATTATACTCAGTTTTGCTGAATAGGTGATCCTTGATTATAATCCTGGTACATGCGCCTTCTGGAATATCATATTCAAAGTCCTCCACTCCTTTAACAAGGACGCCACTAAATCTTATGTGATCCTGACAGTAGCTCCATGATAAATTGTTTCTTTCTAGCTGATTGAAATATTTTCTATTTGACCTAGGAGCTCTGGGATTTGACTATAATATTCCTGGGAGTTTTCACTTTGGGATTTCTTTCAGGAGGTAACTAGTGGATTCTTTCCATTTATATTTTATTCTCTGGATCTAAGATGTCAGGGCAGTTTTCCTTGATAATTTCTTAAAATATGATTTCTTGGCTCTGGTTGTTTTTTTGCTTTTTGTTTTGGTTTTTGGTTTTTGGTTTTGGTTTTTTTTTGTTGTTGTTGTTTGTTTCTTTTATGGCTTCCAGTAGTGCAATAATTCTTAAACTATCTCTCCTTTATCTATTTTCCAGGTCAGTTTTTTGTAAAATATTTCACATTTTCTTTTTTTTCATTATTTTGACTTTGCTTCACTGTTTCTTGTTGTCTAATGGAGTCATTAGCTTCCACTTGCCCAATTCTAATTTTTAAGGAATTATTTTCATTAGTGATATTTTGTACTTCTTTTTCCATTTGGCCAATTATAGTTTTTAAGGAGTTCTTTTCTTCTGTGAATTTTTATTCTTATTATTTATTATATATTATTATTTATTCTTATTATTATTCTTAAAGTGTTGTTTTCTTCAGTATTTTGTGGAGCCTCTTATCAAGCTGTCAATTTTCTTTACATAATTTTCTTGCATCAGTCTCACTTATTTTCTCAATTGTTCCTCTACCATTCTTATCTCTTTCTTTAACTCTTCTAGGAATTCTGATTGGGGCCTGGGTCCAATTAGGATTTTTCTTTTTTTGCTTTTTGGTGAGGCAATTGGGATTAAGTGGCTTGCCCAGGGTCACACAGCTAGTAAGTGTCAAGATTTGAGGCAGGATTTGAATTCAGGTTTTCTTGACTCCAAGGCCAGAGCTCTATCCACTGTGCCACCTAGCTGCCCCCAATTAGCAATTTTCTTTGAAGCTTTTTTGGTACCTATTTCCACATTGTTATCTTCTTCTGAGTTTTTATCTTGGTCTTCCCTACAACAACAGTAGCATTTTGTGGTCAATATTTTTGTTATTTGCTTATTTTCAGCTGATTTCTTGATTTTGAACTTTATATTAAAGTCGGGCTTTGCTTACCTGGGATGGGGAGGCACTGTCCCAAACTTTAGCTTTTTCATGTTGCTATTTTCAGAGTTAGTCCTGAGGGTCTGCAAGTTTTTGGTGCTCCTAGGAGAGCTATAGTCACTGCTCTACTGGTCCACACTCTGGTCTTTATCCAGGAAGGGTGCCTGCTGCCTTAGAGCTGCATGGGCTAGCACTCCTCTTTGCTTTGGTACTTTGAACAGGGCCCCTGCTTCCTTGTAACTGACTACCAGCACTCTTCTTTGCCCTGGAACTAAGACCCAGAACTGGGTATGGGCAGTAGAGATGCCAATCAGTGCCAGCTGTAGCCAGCAGTAGCAAGGGGTCTTTTGTAATCTCTGAGCATTTGTCTGACTCCCTTACAGTCTCTGGGTTGTGAGGTGCTGTCGCTGCTGCTGTAGCACCTGTTGACCCTGCACTGTGTGTGGGCTCTGGACAGACTCCTACTGACCTGTTAAAATTTTTAGGCCGCCCCAACTTTTTGTTGGCTCTGTTGTTCTGAAGTTTGACTTGAGGCGTTACTTTAAAGTTGTTTGGACAGGAATGTTGGAAGAGTTTAGATGGGTGCCTGCCCCTAATATATCATCTTGGCTCCACCCAGATAGATGTCTTGACTACTAGGTTCACATTCTATCCCTTAATATCTGTGTCAATGGCATCTTCAAAATTAAATTGTAATAAAATAGATGCTTACTTTTAAATATGGAGCATAACTGTATTTGTTGGAAGTTAGAAAATGCCTAAAGATTTGTTTTGAGAACTCAATGATCCTTTCATTCTATAAACTCTTTAAAAAGAATAGATACTCCCTCCAACAATTCATATTGTACCTTCTCCTGCTGTGTGTCTCTTCATAAATGCCCTGTAGTGTTTCAAACAGACATGTTGGAAACTTTCCTCTGTTTCTTCTAATCACAATTCAATCCAGCCATATCACACACATGGTCAATGATTTGCTTTACCCCGCTTATCAC